TCTCTCTCTCTCTCTCTCTCTCTCTCTCTCTCTCTCTCTCTCTCTCTGTGTGTGTGTGTGTGTGTGTGTGTGCGTGTGTATCTATGTGTGTTGAGTGGAAGTCCCCTGTAGCTCAGACTATATTTTCTCAATTTTTAGGAAAATCATTTTAGTTTCTCAGAGGACGCATTGAAACAGGAGAAAATATCCATTTAAGAAAGAAGGTAGGGTAGATGGGATGGTTCAGCATGTAAACATGCTTGCTGCTAAATCTGACAATACCAGTTCGATTCCCAGGACCAACATGGTGGACTCCCACAGGTTGCTCTTTGACCTCCACATAAATACATAATTGCCCATGTATATACTTTAGTATATATGGGCTCCCCATATATGCTAAATAAATAAGTATATTTTGGAAAGAAAGAGTAGTAAGCAACATTAAACTAATATATTTCAAGATATTTCCTTTTAACCTAACAACTTTCAGAAATATGTAACTAAATCAAGAGATAATCTCATTTAACATAGTATAACATCAATAAAGAGCCTAAAATACTTATTTTCTGGTCGATAGCAATTATCTTCATCTTCTATAGATTTTTTGTATGTCATTTCTCCTCAGTTAGCATTTTTCTTTAACCTTTAAATAATCGTTTAATTTCTGTACCATCCAATTCTTTGACCTTTGAAGCACATTTTGATCACTTGAATAGAAACTAAAAAATAATTTACACATCTTCCTAAATTTCTACGAAATGAACGGACTGTTTTGAAACCGAATATAGTCAGGTCTTGCTAGTCACAGACACAACCTGGAATGAAGAGCTACTAACAGGAAATTGTATTGAGACAATTTTGTGGCTCTGACAAAGAATTACACCCTACTCAACAAGGTTTTAAGGTGGAGGTATCAGGTCAGAATATGACACTACAGATCAAGTCTTTCTATCAAATTGAAAACAATAACTAATACACCGTGTTTCTTGGGCTCCAGGAAAAATTCTATGGCACTATTCAATAACTAACCAGAAACTGGCCTGAGATGACTGAGTTCAGCCCTAACCATCCTGTACCCAATGATGCCAGATGAAATGTTGAGTATTTCCCCCTTATCTTAAGTTGAATGGTAGTCATTTTTTTCTATACATTTTGACATCCTAACACTGTTAACATTGGCTAGTCATGTAATTCTTTTTCAGTGAAAGCTCACTAGTCTCTCCTTAGAGACTTGAATACAAGCTGAATTCTTTATTCTCTAGGTGTTCTCATCCCTAGGTACACCTCTCATTTATCTCTAATGCAGTCCACAGATACATTTTATTTCATACTTTGAAGTGTTATCATAACTGGAGCTGTCATCTTGACTCCTATCTTCTTAGGTGAGCCTTCAAGCCCCATACTGATGTTCTATTGGAGAGGGAGTGAGTTTTTCAATCTTAACAAGCCAGGCATTTTTTTCTAGAAGAAATTAAATTAGTGTTCCCTGGGATGCCAAGATAAAAGACTTTGTCTACCCTATAGGTAAAAAATATTTTAGAATCTAGAATCACACCTTGTACCATGTGAATTTTTTATATATTAAAAAAAACCCAAAATCAATAACAACAACAACAAAAACAGAACAAAACAAACAAACTAACTAAAAACCAAAAACAAAACTGTCTCATACCAAATAGTGTCTTACTAAAGTAAAAAATCACTGAACTACTATCTCAACTCCATGACCAGGGACATTGTTCAGCTTTCCATAATTGTAAAAAAAAATCCAAAATAATCAACTTATTAAAAGAGAAGGTTCATTTCATCTCACTCTTTGAGGTCTTCTGTCCCATAAGTGTCATGTAGCCCTGCTGCTTTTAGGCCTCTGAACAAGTGTCAGGTGGCAGCAATGAGCAAGATGTGATAAAAACAAAGTGACACCTCATTGTCAGGAATCAAAGGTAGAGGAAGTGCCTAGTGCTCTATACTCCTCTTTAAGGACACTGATAAGCAGTGACCTAAGGACCTCCAACTGCACACCTCTCCAAGGTCAGTCTCTACACAATATGCCACCCTGTGACCTGTCATAGTCAGGGTTACTATTGCTGTGAAGAAACAACATAACCAAAAGTAAATTGGGGGAGAAAGAGTTTATCTAGCTCACACTTCCACATTGTAGACCACATGGATGGAATCCAGGGTAGAAATCAAATGGAGCAGGAACCTAGAGTCAGAAGCTGATACAGAAGCCATGCAAGAGTGATGGTTACTGGTTTGCTCCTCATGGTTTACTCAACCTGCTTTATTATAGAACCCAGGACCGCTACAGCCCAGGGATCACCTCACCCACACTGGGATAGGCACAACCCCTACCAATCACTAGTTAAGAAAATGACCTCCAGGCTTGTCTACAGTTCGATCTTATGAAGGTATCTTCTTAATTGAGATTCCCCCCTCTCAAAAGACTTTAGCTTGTGGAAAGTTGGCATAAAACCATCCAGCATAGGGCCATATGGGATAGTCAAAGCCTACACTACACCAAGGGCTCCTATCTGCTTTTTCTCTTTTGCTCTGACAGTAATTATTCCCATAGAGTACACAGTCACACAGGCTTCACTAGGTCATGAACTATGCACCTTGGCATAGCAGTTTTTGCTTTGAGTATGGGGAATTTCTTACACAAATGGGCTACACAGGATATATGGGTCATACTAGACACTTTTATCTTTACCATAAACATAAAAATAATATAGTTTTGCCTTATATGTATCTGATGTGTCTCTTATGCACCATTTATTCCCATTTTCTCACAGACCTGGAACTGGACCACTCTGGAAAATTGCCAATGATAAAAAAATCAAGCAAACACCACAGAGATGGCCTTCCAAGAAGACCACCAAGATAATTCCATTTTTCCTACCTACAATGTTTTTGATGAATTATATAAAAAAATAAATTGAAATATAGTGCAAACTCTAAGTATGATGGAGAATGATGCTGATCTTCAGGATGGTTGTTGTGTCATCCCAGGCAGTGCTAGCTACTGAGCTAGCCACCCACACAAACCAGGCTTCCCACTAGACCTCTGCTGTTCCTCTCAAAGACTCCCGACAGTAGCATCAACTCTCCAATCCCCAGTGGGCTCAGCTCTGTTCCCTGACTGTTTTTCAGACTTCATAGGTACCACTGAGGAAAAGTTAGCCTGATTGCTAACAAAGAGTCTGGAATATCTCATTTCTTAAAAGCAAAATACCTCCTGGGAGCATCCCCTCACATCCAACTGTGAGCTATAGCAGTTCATTCTGTTGTATCTATCTGCCTTGCAAATAGGAATTCTCCTAAACACGAATGGAGGAGGGAGGCTTGGGATTTTTGTTTGCTTTCGTTCTGGTTTGGGTTTTTACTTTTGCTAATGACTCCTGAGAACAACTTAGCAAGCAGTTTCTGGAATACCATAAATTTTCAGCTGAGCTTGACTTATTGTGCACATATGCATGAATTTCTATGCATTTCTTTACTCCGAGAAAATGAACACGCCCTGATTCTATATTCTTCCTGGAAGACAGATGTACTTTTGGAATAAATATATATGTGAAGCTAATAAAGGCCAAGGAAAACCTTCTCTATATAGGGTTAATTGCAATAGGGACTACTTTGTGGCAAACGTAGATACACAGTAAATATGAAATGTATTATATGGCATAAGTAATCAGAATTAAGTTAAGCACAAGCAACTCTGCTACTTTCCAAGATTCTAAGTCCAAAATGAGAATTTCATTCATCATACCGAGTGAAGAACCTTTGCCAATGGAATGACACATCTGTAGCCTCTTTGGTAGAAAGTGTATCCCTGCTTTGTGGCATATGAAGGTTCTAAAATGAAAAATTAACTTCAAATGGAGACATTCTTGAGATGGCATGATGTCAAAATTCAACTGTCATCTACATAGTTAGGCAACATTTCAGACTTTTGAAAAATTATTTTTTTAAAAAAATATGGCCTTACTAAAGTTTCAAGTAACTCCACTAATAGATCATTGATAAAATGTTAACGGACAGACTCTAAAAATAACTAGTTCACAAGGTCATAGAAAGCAAAAAGCAGGACAGATAATCCCACTGATTAACACTGCATAAATGATCAGTGGCTTATTTAAAGGAGAGTTTTTTTTACATCATAAATGTTTTTACTTTTTAGAGTGGATAACAATATTCCTTTTTTGTAGACACCACATTCATTCCTTGATGGACATTTAGACATTTCTTTATTAAATATTTGATTTATTTACATTTCAAATGTTGTCCCCCTTCTCAAACCCCTTCCATGAACCTTTCACCCCATCCACTCTCCCCTTTGCCTCTAAGTGGATGCCACCCACTCACCTACTCTTACCTCAACCCTCTTACATCCTCCTTCTCTGGGGCATCAAGTCTCCAGAGGACCAAGTACTTCCTCTCCTTCTGATGCCAGATAAAGCAGTCCTCTGCTACATGTTTCAGGAGCCATGGACCAGCTCATGTATACTCTTTGGTTGATGGATTAGTCCCTGGGAGCTCTGAGGGGTCTGGTTGGTTGATACTGTTGTTTTTCCTATGGGGTTGCAATCTCCTTCAAGTCCTTCAATCCTTCCCCTAACTCTTCCACTGGGGTCCCCGGGCTCAGCCCAATGGTTGGCTGTGAGTATCTACATCTGTCTTTGTCAGATGCTGGCAGAGGCTCTCAGAGGACAGCCATACCAGGCTCCTTTCTGCAAGCATGTCTTGGCATTAACTGGTCTAACTGGCGGTCTGCATGTAGAAGAATGCAAATTGATCCATTTTTATCTTCTTGTCCAAAGCTCAAGTCCAAGTGGATCAAGGCCCTCTCATAAAACCAGCTACACTGAAACTAATAGAAGAGAAAGTGAGAAATAGTCTGGAACACATTGGCAAAGGAAGGATTTCCTTAACAGAACACTAATGTTTCAGGCTGTAAGATCAACAATTGACACATGAAATTGAAACATTCTGTAAGGCAAAGGACACTGTCAATAGAACAAAACAGCAACCTACAGATTGGGAAAAGATCTTTACTTAACCTTACATCCAATATAGGGATAATATCCAAAATATACAAAGAACTGAAGAAGATAGATTCCAAAAACCAAACAACACAATTAAAAGTGGGGTATGGAGCTAAACAAAGAATTTTCAACAGAGGAATCTGGAATGGCTGAGAAACACTTAAATGTTCAACATCCTTAATCATCAGGGAAATGCAAACCAAAACAACCCTGAGATTCCACCTTACAGCAACCAGAATGGCTAAGATCAAAAACTCAGGTGACAGCATATGCTGGTGAGGATGTGAAGAAAAAGAAACACTCTTCCATTTTTGGTGGGATTGCAAGCTGGTAAAATTGCTTTGGAAATCAACCTAGTGGTTCCTAAGAAAATCGGACATAGTCCTACCTGAAAACCCAGCTATACCACCCTTGGGCATATACCCAGAAGATGCTTCACCATATCACAAGGACACATGCTTCACTATGTTCATAGTACTCTTATTTATAATATACAGAAGCTAGAAACAACCCAAATATCCCTTAACTGAAGAATGGATACAGAAAATGTGGTACATTTACACAGTGGAATACTACTTAGCTATTAAAAACAAAGACATAGTGAATTTTGTAGGCAAATGAGTGGAAGTAGAAAATATCATCCTGGGTGAGGTAACCCAGATTCAAAAGGACATATATAGTATATACTCACTGAAAAATGGATATTAGCCCAAAAGCTCAGAATACCCACTATACAACTCAAAGACCTTATGAAGGTTAACAAGAAAGATGGCCAAAGTGTGGATGCTTCAATCCCACTTAGAAGGGGGAAGAAAACAATCACAAGAGACAGTGGGATGGAGGAATCTGAGTGGGATAGGGGAAGGGGGAAAGGGAGGTAGGATCAGGTATGGGAAGAGACAGAAGAGAAGTCCAGATTGCCAAGAGAATGAATAGAAATATGCAGCAGTGGGTGGTGAAGAATACGGAGGGGCAGGGGGGGATACTACAAAGTCCCAGACACCAGGGATGCGAGATTTTCCCAGGACCCAATGGGGATTACATTAGCCAAAATGCCGACCAGCAGGGAGATACCTGAAGAGATCACCTCCAGTAGATAGACATGGTCCCCAGTTGAGGGATGGGGCCACCCATCCATCTCAAAATTTTAAACCCAGAATTGTTCCTGTCTAAAGGAAACGCAGGGACAAAAAAAATGAAGCAAAGACTGAATGAAAGGCCATCCAGAGACTGCCCCACCTAGGGACCCATCCCATCTGCAGACACCAAACTCTGGCACTTGAAGGAAAGATTCTTGAATCAAATTTGTTTCAGAAATATACCTCCCCTCTGGAGAGCCATGATTTACTGTATATAAGTCATCATTTCCCTGATTTATTTATCTACTAGTGACTCTGTGAGAGTACTGCCCAGAATTACTGCTCTGTTGATTCAGAGGAAATAATGCCCTGTTTTCAGATGAGAAATTGCGTTCACAAATCGTTTCTGAACTACTGCGAAATGCTCCAGTTTAATCTGGTATTTTGTTTTGGTTTGGTTTTTTGCTTGATCAGGTAAAACTGAATACTTCTGTTACCAAGTAGCCAATAAATTTTACATAGTGAGCTGAAGTGGGGTCTTCCCTCGTTTCGTTGAGCTCGTGAAACGAGGTAATGAAATGAGGTTGCTGTGTTTTCTTGTATTAAGAAGCACCGACTTGAATGGCCCATCCTTTAGGATGGTTTTTAGGTATAGCTACTATGGTTCATTATTGTGTCCTTGATGCTCCACTTCCTGTGAAACTGTTGTCTTTTGATAACTCCTCACTGCTCTCCAACTGTAAGTGATGATTTTGTGTCTTCGTCTACTGTCAACCATAGATGATTCCACTGGGTAATTTGTTGTATATAATAAGCTCTCAATAACTTTTGGCATCAACTCTATCTGAGTCCTCACTTTACATAAGGGAAACAACTCTATTGTGTTTCTAAGAATGACATACCTTGTATCAGGGTTCTTCTAGGCAGCGATTGAGGGTATATTTGACTTAAGGTGTTGACTTATTCTTTTGTGAAGCTGGTAAGTCTGTCATCCATAGGGCAGGCTGACAGTATAGAACATCAGGGTAAAATTTCTGTGCTACAGACTTGAGGTAGAGTCCTTCCTTGCCTGCAAACTTTTGTTCATCTACAATGAATAGGATGTTCATCTCCTTTAAGTTGGCTGATGGGAAATGTTAATTACGCAACAACATCTATGATCATCTTTCACCAAACTCTCTCCAAAGCCTGCTCAGGCTGATGCATAAAATTCACCTAGCACACAAGCTTTCTGTTGCTGTCTTTTGTAGAGTTTAAAGTCTTTTACACTGCAGTACTAATTTACCATGCTTTCTGGATGCTTAGATCATAACACAGGTGGTTCTCACACAGGGCCTTAATGGCGTAAAATGCTCTCCACAAGGATTACTTTATTATTATCTAAGGATGAAATTCTTCAGAATCAAGGTTACCTATTCTGGATATTTAGATCTTAAATCATGAAGAAAGCTTTTATATCTTTTAGTTCAAGGGCAATAATCCCACATAACACATTAATTTGATCGGATTTGACATTTATCGATTTCCATTGGGAAATAAATAGCTAGAAGGAACCAAGGGGGTTTGGAGGGTTGTTTGCTGTTTCTGGTCCCTCTTTACAGAGCCCTGCCTGAAGCAGAGCTTTACCTCACATTAGAATCATGTGGAGAATTATGAAACACAAAATTCTCTCTCCAAAGCGTCCCCTCAGAGATGCAAATTTGATCAGGCTTGGGTAAGATCCACTGTGCCACCCTACCTCAGCCAGACTAGAGATGATGAAAATCCCCGAGACCAGCCGGTTCATCACTCTCACTGCTAACAAGCGGTCGACCATACTCAGTGCTGGGGAGCTGGA